CTGACTTGGTGCGGTGAGCGGTAGTGGTGCGATGCCAGGGACGGTGTTGGTTTTGTGATGGGGGCGGCGCTGGTTTGGCTCGAGGGGGGGTGCTGGTCTGATGCCGGCGGCGGTGCTTTTCTGGTGCCGGGGTCGGTGGTGGCGCGGTGCGGGGGCGAAGAGGACGGTGCACGTGTTGTAAACTGGCAGACACATCAGTGGAGAATTCGGTATTCGACATCCTTCACCAGCGGATTGCAACAAACTTCGATGGAATTGTTGTCACTTTACCACATTTCCATTAGAAGATGCCAGTGCTGGTGCTTTGCCACATCGACTTTTTCAGACACCGCCAAACTGTGACGCGCGCCCATAAGCTTGGCTCACAGCAGCTCTTGTGGTTGTACCCCAGACGTCCCGCTGAGCCTTTCACCGTGGGCGACAGGGCCCCACTCACATTTGTCTGGCACCAGCGCCACTGCAATGTCGTCGCTACGCAGTGACGCAGTATCTGACGCGGTTTGGGCAACCAGACCCGTCACGTGACGCACCACCTGGAACATCTTGATGACGGGAACGGCAGCGAGGTCCGTGGACCGGGATCCAGATTTATTCGGTCGGATTCGCTGTTTATCCCCCTCCGGGCCTCTCAGTACCCCACTGGATTACAACCCCGCACCGATAATTCACGGTCATTTCGTTCTCTGGTTTACAGGACAGCCCTTCACTCGGACTCCAAATCGTCCCGCCAGACGGAGCTTAGCGGCGCTGGCTGGGCTTTGCATCCAACATTGGACAGCTCCGTCTGCTGACTGAAGCGACCAACACCAGAAACCTTCCGTTCGTCCCGGGCGCGTTTTGTCACGCGACAGCTGATACGGCTCGCCCGTCGCGAGTTCCACAGCGCAGCACCACCAGACTCGTCCGGTGGACGCTGGCTGACGTGTCGGAAGACCTGCGCCGGCCGTGCTGGGTTCCCCGCTCACGTTCGCACGACTGCGCGCCTCGAAAACAGATCAGATCACCGATGACTGGCATATGTCGGGGCCAGCGCCGCCGGCGGTCCGGTCGGGGCCTCGCCGAGGTTCTCGCCGTGGGCGGCGGGCGCCGCTGCTGCTCGTCACGCCTCGCCGTCACGCCGCGGTGTCACGCTGTCGTTGCGCCGGTGTGTGACGTGCGTGTGTCGCATGCCGGCCATTGTCTGGCGGTGTCCTCCGCCGCCGCCGCCAGCGGCCGTCCGGACGTCCGCCCCCATGGCACGCCACCGCCGGCAGGTTAAGGTCACATCCCGCTCATCCTGCTTCCGGGCTCGAACAGAGGGGGGGGGGGGGGGGGCTGTAGTGTCGACCGCCCGCGCTGCTTGGCAGCGAGCTCCGGAAACGAAAAACGTCAAGTTCGAGTTTTTTCTGGTTAGGGACGTGCGTTTGGCCTCAAGAGGCTTAACCGACACCCACCTGATTCAGCGGGCTAACCCTGTCGGCTCAACACGACGGAGGCCATGGATGGGGGGGGGGGGGGGGGGGGGGGGGCGGCTGCAGCAGCAGAATACAGTTCTGGGTCAAGGCCTGGCGCGGTGTTTTGGGTCATGTGCCGTCGTCGCCGGACACTGATGGTATCTTGAACATAAGGCGATTGGATGCAAAAAAAGGTCCGGAAATTCCCTTGCAAGCAATGATTAACGGCTTGCTATTTTGCGCTCCAGTCGTGAAAATCCGTTCTGCTTCCAATGACAAGATTCCTTTTCTCGGAAGTACTTTCCGAAAATCGAGATTTTTGTCTCGTTTCAAGAACGCCACCCGTGATCACAACGTCGACGAAATGACTTAAATCTTTGCAGCTTAATAACCACAATCAGGCCCGATGCGCACAATACCAGTGAAGGCGAACATGCTGTTGTTCTGCACAAACATTGAGGGCTATCCTGAAGACCCATCAACAAAGCTTTTGCTTTTGGCTGCATCTAGTGCCTTAATGACCTGGAAATAGCATTTCATGTGCCAACGGAGACGCGCAACATGGACGAGGGGAAGAGAGATGTGGGGCGGGGAGAAGCGGGGGGATGCGACAAGGACGTGTTCTCCCACTTTTCCGGAAACCAACATTATTGCGGCGTTGGTGAGGGAAGACGCGTCTCAGAGTCTTCGGCCCCACACTGGACCGCAGCGGAGCGGACGTCCCTGCGAGTTAATGATGGGTCCTTATAGTGCCATCACGTCCGAGGCCAGCTCTCGTTGGAGGGAAAATCCACTTACTGTGATCTTTGAGACACTATACGCCTCCGCCTCCCAGTGGATAACCCGACATGTAGTGCGATTTCCTTTAAAAATGTTCCTGATTTTGACCGGCAGCAGCGCCTGAGCACGGCCAGCAACCCAGCCAATCCACATCGAACAACGCCAAGGGCGCTCGCATAGGATCTCGGCATGGCCACCAGCAACGAAGACCCGAAGAAACAGCGCATCGGTACCTGCCCTCAGGCATTGCACTGTACTGCAAAACAATGTGCTGCAAACACACACACGCACACTAGATAAAACACTATCACCACGTGGTTCGGCGTCAGGGGCCGGCCACCTGACTGCAATCGACAGCACAGTTGACCGCGACAAGAGTACAATGAGTTAACATGATCGGGATATGGCATCGAGCTCGCGGCGACCGGCCGAGTCCGACGAGACAGCGCCGGGCCCGCGGCGACCGGCCGGGTCCAACGAGACACCGCCGGGCCCGCGGCGACCGGCCGGGCCCGACGAGACAGCGCCGGGGCCCGCGGCGACCGGCCGGGCCCGACGAGACAGCGCCGGGGCCCGCGGCGACCACCCCGGTCCGACGAGACAGCGCCGGGGCCCGCGACGACCGGCCGGGGAAGCCCACATCACAGCCAAACCACCCGCGCGCGCCGCCGCTTACCGCGCCGACCGGCCCGGGGCGGCGACAGCGCCCCTGCCGCGCCGGCCGCCCCTGCCGGGGGCCGCCACCCTCCGCAAGCCGGCGGGAGCACGCCTCCGCTCCGCAGGCCAGCCGGGGGCCTGCACACATCACATCGCGGCGTGTGCCGAGCCAGCCTGCCGGGGGAGCGCTCGGCCGAGCCTGCGCCTGGCCTGGCCCAGCCCAGCGGGCCCGCACCTGCCGCCGGCGGTCGTGCGGCGGGCAGCGGGCTGGTGGGGAGTCCCCTGGCGCGCTGCGCCGGCGCCGGCGGCCGGCTGCAGGACGCCCGGCGTGCGGAAGTCGGGGTCCGCCTCGGCTCCAGTCCGCCGCCGTCGCTTCCGACGCGCCGTCGGCGCCCGTGGAGCGGGCCACTGTCGATCGACAGAGGTGAGCCGGTGACGCGTGGGGCACGAGCAGCCGCGGAAGTGCCGGCATCAATGGACTGATCAGGCGGACGTGGCGGTCAGGTGGAAGTCGGGCCACTGATTAGGCGGAAGTCGGGCCACAAAGAGAGCAGCCGATGCGAACCAATGTAGGTCACACAGACAGCGACCGGTGCACCAACCCTGACGCGACATCGCTAAACGGAGGCAAGACACTGGCCCACCAACCCTGATAAGCCACAGCTGTTCATCAGATGCAGGCATGGGGGATGGACAATTCCTCAGTCACTACAGACCAGACAGAGGCAAGCCACTGACATGCCGCCTCATCAAATCATATCACGTTCAGCGGGCGGCGTCAGGCCGGCGACAAAGCCGCGAACCCACGCGGGGCAGACCGACGGCGCCCAGGCGACGCCCCACGCCACCCCTCCAGGGGCCAGTCCAACGCTCTCCCGCCACGACGACTCACCTGCCAGGAGCCGGAGCGTGCCGGTGGCAGGACCCAACCAGCGCGGACCAGCGCGGACCGGCGCGGACCAGCGCGGACCCGACCCTGTGGCGGCGCGAGCAGCCGGCGGGCGGCGGCGTCCCGGCGGCGCAGCTCCGCCGCTCGGCCGCTCGGCCGGGGCGCCCGGGCGGCGCGGCGCGGGACGGCGCACGGTGGCGAGGCGCGGCGCTGCGAGTGTGCGGAGACTCTACGCGGCGTGACTAGAAGGCCAGACGGTGAGGCGGCCGCCGGCGCCGGCGCGCGAGCGAGCGAGCGGCCGGCCCGCGCGGCCCCTCCGCAGCGCGAGGACGCCGCGGAGCGGACCGGCAGCCCGGCCGGCCCGGAGGCGACCCGCCGCGGTCCGACGCCGCGTCCCCGGACAGCGGCCAGGCACGCTCGGCTAGCCGGCGGCGGCGGCAACGGCGGCGGCAGACCGGGCCGGGCCGCAGCGCCACCTGCCGGCACGGGCGACGCAGCGTCAGGCGCGGCCACGCTCGCCACCGCGGCCGCGCGGCTGCTCTGCGGCGCCGGGTGACTGCTGCGGTCACGCTTATCGGCGTCCAGATCTGTCACGCCGCGTGTGGCCGCCGAGGCAGCAACACGGCTGGCCGTCACTCGCCGGGTCACGAACCAGAGCTCGCACGCCGAGTATCGGCTCTTTCGAGCCCAACGGACAGTGAAGGTTCTTGGTACTTTGGTGTGGCTTTATGCCTCTACATACCTTTACATAAGCGATCACTGCTGGCTTCGTGCCTCCTATTTGCAAAAAGCACAGCTTTGGCACAGATAGCAATGCGGTACAACGTGCAGCATGTAACAGACTGCAGTCTCTGTACCCTAACCTTGATGTATGTAACAATATTGACGTCCTATTCGGCATCTCGACGTCGACCAACATGCGTGTTGATGTGTGGACCGGAGTGAGCTGTTCATCACTAGCAAGTACACTTACGCACACGTTGGTCGGCGCGTCGTTTTCTATAACCCCGGATGCGTCGTCCCAGCGCCAGATGACGATGCCGATTTGGGCTTTGGGGCGCCCCCCCCCCCCCCCCCCCCCGGCTCGCATCCCATCCGGCTTTCCAGATGGTCCACACCCTGTGGCCACCCCTGCCGCTGGGACTCTTCACAGTCTGCAGCACCCGAGAGCCCGCCTCACCCAACACCCAGACCACGGCGCCGCCCCCCTCCGGACCACACTCTCACCGGCGCCGTCCCCGTCACGTCTTGGTGGCGAGCTTGATGCGTCGCACGGGCGGCCGCGGCGCCGCGTAGCAGTGGTCCTCCTGCCAGGCGGGCCGGCTGGGGCCGGCCGGCTCGGCCGGGTCGGCGCCGGCCGCCAGCCGTCGGCGCACGGCCTCGGCCAGCCGCCGCTCGCCGCCGGCCGTCACCGTCCAGCGGCCGGCCGCCGAGCGGCGGAAGCAGTCGCGCCGCGCGCCCGCCAGCAGCGCCTGCTGCAGCCACGTCTGCCGGCAGCGGCGGCTCCGGTCGGACGGCGGCCGGCGGCGGGCGCCGCGCGCGCGGCCGCTCCGAGCGCACGGCAAACGCCGACCACCGCCACGGACGTGAGCGAAACGGCGCCGCGCCACGGCTGTTTTGACTCACTTTCGCCAAAACCGCGTCTCGCAAGGGTACGCCGTCGACATACAGTCACCACGTGGCCGACACGACTCGGCGAAAACCGGTTAGCCCGGACGCCGCAACGGCAAGAGCGACAAGACACGGCCGCCGCGCGGCGGGCATCACGGGAAGCTTCAGTGCAACTAATTACGAAAATTAACCGATCGATCTGGGGTTCGGTAGTTGATCAAGTTCCGATTTCTCTCGGAAACACATTTCGGCTTCATACATAATCCAAAACCTTCCTGAAGAACGACATAACCGCTCGCACCTCTTTCCTTCTGCTATGCACACTGCATTCCCAGCGCCATTCCCACTGCATTCCCAGCGCCAATGCCAATTAAACCCTGCTGGCGCCGCCAGACGTCCGCTCGAGGCCCGCACGTGAACGTCCCCAAACACGAGCGCGCCGGCGCGTGCCCTACGTACCTGCAGCTGCGCCTGCTGCCGGAAGAAGGGGTACTCGCGCCGGACGAAGGCGGCCACGTGCGCGACCGAGACGTGTCGCTCGGGCGCCGAGCAGATGGCGAGGGCGGCCAGCTCTTCGGCCGTGAACGGGGGCCGACGCACGGTGTCCGTCCAGCCGAGGCTGGCCACCAGCCGGGGCAGCACCGAGCCCACCGCCTGCCGGAGAGCAGCGCGGACGCCGGTTACAAGCGTGAGCTGGCTGGTTATCTGAGCCACAGACGGAGAGGCGTGGTTACAGGCGTGAGTTGATTGGTTATCTGAGCCGCAGACGGAGAGGCGTGGTTACAGGCGTGAGCTGATTGGTTATCTGAGCCGCAGACGAAGAGGCGTGGTTACAGGCGTGAGCTGGCTAGTTATCTGAGCCGCAGACGGAGAGGCGTGGTTACAGGCGTGAGCTGGCTGGTTATCTGAGCCGCAGACGGAGAGGCTTGGTTACTGGCGTGAGCTGATTGGTTATCTGAGCCGCAGACGGAGAGGCGTGGTTACAGGCGTGAGCTGGCTGGTTATCTGAGCCGCAGACGGAGAGACGTGGTTACTGGCGTGAGCTGATTGGTTATCTGAGCCGCAGACGGAGAGGCGTGGTTACAGGCGTGAGCTGGCTGGTTATCTGAGCCGCAGACGGAGAGACGTGGTTGCCGGCGTGAGTTGGCTGGTTATCTGAGCCGCAGACGGAGAGGCGTGGTTATTGGCGTGAGTTAGTTACGTGAGTTACGGACGGGGAGGCGCGAGTTACCGACGTGAGTTAGTTACGTGAGTTACGGACGGGGAGGCGTGAGTTACCGACATGAGTTAGTTACGTGAGTTACGGACAGGGGGGGGGGGGGGGGGGGCGTGAGTTACCGACGTGAGTTAGTTACGTGAGTTACGACACGGGAGGCGTGAGTTAGCTAGTCACCTATCGCAGACGGAGCAATGCAGCGACCGGTGCGGCAACATTCGGCCATTTGGGTGGCCAGGGTGCAAATGTTTGTCATACTTTTGCACCCTTGGCTCGTGCTCGCTGGCTGATGCCACTCCCCTTGCCAAGGTTTCGCCAAACAACAATGAGCTGGATGGCGGCCAACTCGGCATCAAAGCAGCTCGAGCTTGGCTAATCGGGCGGCAGGTCACAATGGCTGGGTTTGGGGTCAGAGGGCAACGGAGGTCAGAGGGGGGTCAGAGGAGGTCAGAAGGGGTCAGAGGGCAACGGATCAGCAGTGCCGAAAGGTGAGGATGGCGGCTGCCGAGCGGACAGAAGTCTGCTGATACGAAATTACATGTATACCCTTGACACCCACGTGGATAGATTTTTGAGCTCTGTTGGTGACACGTGGCAGTACTCATATAGGGGGACGACGGGGGGGGGGGGGGGGGTCACACGTGTGCACAGGAGACACGTCGATGTAACAACGGTGGGCAAGGCGCTGCCGTTGGGACACCAGCCATTCCTGAGTAAGAACGGCTCAAACCGCACCAGCAGACAATGGGGAAAGCTTACACCTGACCACAAAACACGCCGGTGGCCGCAGGAAGACACGGGCTGAAACGTCACACGGGCTGACTCAGGAAGGACCAGTGCACGAGTGCTGAGTACCGGGTACTGAACAATGAGCACCAAACACAGTGCACCGAGCACACTACACTGAGCACGGAGCACAGTACACTGAGTACTGAGCAAAGTGCACTGAACACAGCGCATCGAGCACAGTGCACCGAGCACCGAACACTGGGCACAATACACTGGGCACTGAGCACCGAAGACTGAACACCAACCACAGAGCACCAGCAATGACCTGCCACGCCACGGCGTAAAGAGCACACGTAAAGAGTCGGGTCGTCCGCGCACGGCGGCCGGTACCGCGTGCACGCGCGCGGCTGCCCGCGGCAGCGAGCGGCGACGTACCCCGGAGTCCAGCGGCGCGAGCCCAGCCGCGTCGACCGAGTCCAGCAGCACGTCCTCCTCGCCGTCCTCCAGGAAGCGGTCCGGGTCGTCCTCGGCGTCCTCGCACCCGTCGTCGGGCGGGTCATCGGGGTCGCGCTGGCGGCCGCGGTGCTCGTCGCCCTCCGCCACCGTGTAGTAGTAGGAGCTGAGCCAGCCGTCCAGCGAGCCGTCCGCATCGTCTGGCGGCGCGGCCGCGCGCGTCAGGCGCCGCGCACCGCCCGAGGGCGCCGTCGCGACGCGTCACCGGAGACAGCAGCGGCGCGGACCACCGCGACCGACGCGAGGCGCGGAAACGTGACGTCAGCGCTACGGGCCACGCCCGGACCGCCACGACGCTGCCTGCAGCCGTTGAACATTATTGCATCCATATCCGCTTGCATCTACAAACATCCATGCTACGCGACAGCACCTCAATGTAGTGCGTCTCATCAGGGCGCATTGCCAGTTCAGATCTGCCAGGGCACAACGCCATATGACGTCAGAACAGCGTGTTGCTGGACGGTGTCTTCACATGCGGTGAAAACTCAATGACGCGTCATTATTTCTAGTCTGTTTTCCTGTTTTAGAATTCAAATAGGCACATCATTACAATGCAACACGTCACAAGGAGACCCCGTCGACAACACCGCAATGTACCCGAAAACAGCGCCGCATCACGCCCCATTCGCAACACGCATTCCGCAGCCACTGCGTGCGGGCACCCGCGTGGCTGCCGGTCGGACCACTCACCGGCGCCGACGAGAGAACGGGCGGGAGCGCGCGCGGGCAACAGGAGGGCGTCGCAGTCGTCCGGGTCCGGGCCGGGGTCCGGGTCCGGGTCCGGATCGGGATCCGGCTCGGCGAACGGCCAGTCGTCGCCGCCCTGGATCCCGCTCTGGGCCATGGCTGAGGGGGGGGGGGGGGGCAGGCCGTGTCAGTCGCGGTCCCACGCGCACACGGCAGTCAGGCGCGCCCGCCGATGCCCAGTGATGCTCCCGTCGGAGTCACACAACAGTCAGATGGTGGTTGTGGTTCGGAGCTGATTCTGTAACTGTCTGATTTGTGGTGAATCAAAATGATTCAGCACATGAACCAGATAGTTACAGGAATACAACCAGTGTATAATGTGGTGTGTACAGGACAGTGTGTGTAGCACAATGATGCTTTGATGCAAATGAAATGACAGTGATTCTACATGAGTGGATACAAAACTAACACACTCTGAAGGCATAATGAACAAACAACCTTGGAGGAAAGGTTCCTCTCATTGAGGCAAGCAAGAATAAAAAGAAATAACCACCACATGCATGAGACTCACAACAGACCATGGGGACATATCCTAGAAACACACAGCCATGCTGAATATATAAACTGTGAAATCATGGTTGATGTGAAAGACAAACACCAAGAGTAGCATGGACATATACCTATTGCCAGAGGGTCTGCTCCACAGTAGGCATCAAGCTGTGAGTTCTTGTCCTGGCCATTCACAGCACCGCCCTTGGCTTTGCTCGATAGTCTATCCATGGCTTGAATGACCTGAGTCCTGAAAAATAGCACTATTACATTTTCATGCCTGTGAAAAACCATTCAATCAAGTTCTTCACACCATGAAGACCCTGGTAATTGCAGGGAAAAATAAACACCAATGTGGATGCAAGACTGACTTACAAGTGATATGATGAGAATGAGCAGAGCACTTGCCACTTTCATGGTGCAAGCACAGAATATCAACAGTTCTAATCATAAAAATGTCTTGGTGTACATCTTAAAATGAACAGAAGAAAAAATGACACAGTTAAGCTTTGTACAAAAAGAACATCTTTTTGTGACCACAATATTTGCTTGTCCCACTTTGGAATGAATGTTGCTTGGCTCAGCATTCTCAACCAAACTATATTGCCATCAGGTATTGCAGAGATACATAAAAAATAAATATTCACCATGCAAATTATCTCCATGGAGACAATCACATGGATAATGTTCACTTAAATATCAGAATGCCTTCAATTCTTGCCACATCAAAGACTTTGGAAACTTTCTGTGATTGAGATCATAAAGAAGACAGTTGAGCATTCCTTCTTTTCATCTTGACAGGAAACAGCTCATTCTAATGAACGTGCAGGGGCATCATGTGAACCAGCACTGTGTGGCATGCCTGAAAGATGGCTACTTGGCTCAATTCCGTTTGCAATACATACACATGCTCTTCCTGCCAGGCAAAAAGCAACTTAAGCTGGTAATATTTGTGGATAACACAAAAGCATGTTTCAGAATCAAGTATGAGACATAATCAAATCATACAAAGCCTGTGGCACCACTAGCACCTGACACCACTTCAACACCAAACCCTGCCCACCACTGTCATCCCACCAAGAAGTGACTGGCCATCTGTTTTTCTCATGGAAAAATGACCATGACTCAGCAGAAGAAAAACTTTTGGAAAGTATTGCTTGATAATAATATCTTCTTGTTTTTGTTTATTTGTTTTGGTTGGGTCAGTGATTACAAAAGAGTTCTGATGCTTAAAATTGTTTCAACACTACCTCACTTGTCATGTCTTCAGCATGGCAAAACAAAGCTATCAAGCCATATATTTAAGCATGAAAACCATGCCATAGTTACATGGTTTTGTTTATTTATTGTACCATAAACCACCTTAAAGCTTACCAGGATGGGCTGGGGAATTCAATACTTATGCACCATAACCATGCATGCATTACACAAAAACACCATATTAAAACTTTTATTATCCTTCAAAATAGAATTCATTTTTTCAAGAAAGGAAATGATGGTCTATCCAAGGCCCTGCATAAAAGCTACCAGTCTTGACCAAAAAATCCCATTACCAACTACAACATAAACCCTCATACAGCACATCAGGTTCCATGCCATTTAGAGTCCAAAGTAATTGGGCAACACCAGTTTAGGAATTAGAACTGCATAAATTGCACTGATGAATTGACATGTAGGATACTTATGCCTCCCTTAGCCCTAAATGAATGCTATTCTTCACATGACATAGCAGAACTTGAGTTGTGCAGATCATCATCAAATCAAAATACGAGGGCAGATTTGCAGCACAATACACATCAAGATGCTTCTGCATTTGAAAAAAAGAGATAGCCACCTTGTAATGCTTTGCAACCGCCCTTACTGCCGTTTTTATGAAGCTCACTTACTCCAGTCATCCATGCACCAACAGCAAGGGCACAGTTTCTCAAAAAGGATCAGGGGGCTGACTCCTGACAAATTGTGAAACCTACCCCGAAAATTCGCCGATACGCAGGCGTCTCCCCGGGTTGCGTCCACCTAAAAAACAGCATGCTAAAATACACATAAGCAAACGGAGGGAATCACGTGTCCAACGCTTTCTGGCGGGCTCTCCGCACCACCTCTTCGTATTACATTTTGACTCACCGCTGGATCCTTATTGCGTTGCAAGAAGGTGTGTGTCTGCCAATCAGTCAACCCCTACAATGCCTTCTGCCCCCCGTACTCATCATTCAAGACTCATGCCAATTCCGTGCGCTGCTTCCGTCGGTGTTTCCCTTTGCCTCAAGGTCCTATATACAGGAGTTGTGGTCATTCCTGCATGTCACCAATTTAATGACGTCATTGTTTTCAAGTGACGGGATAATCGCAATACTTAAGCCAGCCTAAGGAAGAAAGCGTCTGACATCTAAAGGTATTAAAGCCAGCATCGAATTTGATGAAACAAGCGCAACCCTTAACTTTTGGTATACTTTTAAAGTGAAAAAGACAGCTGTGGACAGAAAAACTCTCGGTTTAGTAAATATGCTTCTCAATGCGTCATTGTTTGAATACGTCATCGTGCCTTGCATAACATTGATTGAGAGCCAATGGACCTCGTTTTATTTAGAAATCACGCTCACGAACGCCAGTTGTAAACGCCTCCACGACTTCATTTTTCTTCGCCTTGATCGCCACATGGCTTGTGGAATTACAGGACTTGAATGCAGGGGCGGGATATCCGAATGGCGCGTTCGACCAAGCGAAAATTATTCAACGAATAAACATCTCTCCGATAATCATCCGCCGAGATTCTCCATTTTTACTGGGCCGGTCCGGAAATGATGCCCCACATAAGTCTCCATGCGCCACCTACAGCCAACGGTCATAGCTATGCATATCGAAAACAGCTTCTCCGTCTGGACCATGCTTTGAAAATTCCCCGCGATTCTCTCCCGCTACGGAAAATTATCCGGGAGAATTTTCCATGACGGCAGTGCCGAACGCCGTCCCGGAAAATTGTCCAACATTCTGGATAATTATCCGAGATTATCTGGCGGCCGAACGCCATTGAGATGTCGGCACGGGTGTCGATTTGCTTTTTCTTGAGTACCCCTGCCTCCCCCCCCCCCCCAATATTGAGTTGGGCCCCCAATGTTGGCTGGGCCCCCTAATGTTTTTGGCCGGAATACTAAAGAGAAACGAAGGTAAAAGTAAAAGTGAAAAACCCTAGAATATGGGGGTGACCTAAGTCCTTCATTGTCAACCCCATCCTCGTCCCACAACCAAAATGCGTGCCTCCTCCCATGACCGTCACAGAAGAACGTCATCGGCACCCTAAGGCGGCTTCTTAAGGGGTGCCTTCATGTGCCGATCAGAAGAGATACGTGCGTCCAGTGTCTGCCCCCTGGATCCAACCCTGCATGCCTTCTATATGTACTGCTTAAGTTAAAGACCTATAAACTATACAAATATTAAAAGCGTATATTGCGTTCGATCAAAATGAAGTGGGCTAAATCAGGTTGATAAAAATGGGGAGAGGTTGTGGGGCCTTTGGTTCGGCCCCCAATAATTGACACCCCCGGATGGAGGGAGGGGGGGGGGGGCAAAGACTACGAAGGACCCCCAAACCGACGAACCCGTATGTTTAGGTACAGGCGCAAAGCCAGAGCATTGGCAATGGAGAGGCACACAGGTTTGACAAAGCCCCCCCCCCCCCCCGATAACAAAAGCCTCTTTCAAACGAAAATTAATCGAATATGGCCCATGTGAGGGTACGTTTTTATATTTTGCATTTTAACCTTCCAAGACTGGAATTGAAGACGGAAGCTACCGCGAAATCAATTTTGTCCATTTTTTTTTTAGTCAGTTAACTAGAGAAATCATGCGTTAAACAACAGCATGAAATGAACCACCGGGCTCTTCGTTATAGAACGGTCCAATGAACTTTTTCTGAAGCACTAAAACTTACAAGCTTTGTCGGAACCTTAAATTCCATTAACATGGCCAGGCAATGCTTGTCTGGAAATGTTCAACTTTCAGTCGGATTAGTGATTTAAATTAGGTAGCGTTGTTTTGAGCATGCGCGCTCGCACATCTTCGCAAAAAATCTCGACGCAAGGCGTTGTTGCCTCCGTAAACCGCGCAGCGTCAGCCCTGCGGCTAACACTAAGCCGTGGCCTACGGGTAGACGAAAATGACACATTCAATAGAAGTACCTTAAAACGCTTTAAAACTTTGGACCGTACATTTAGAAGACAGTCGGGCGTATCTTTCACCTGCGCGAATGTTTGATTGATGAATTGAACGGCTTTACAGCACCACTAAGTGGTGCTGGAATCTGAGGGCAGAACTGAAGGAGTAAGGGTAGAACCTTCATTTTCATGTTGTTGTAGCTGTTAAACTGTCCAGAGGACAGCCCCAAAGTGATAAAAAAGATGCTTCCGGCCTGACCTTTGAATGACACGAAATAGTTTCCTAAGGCATTTAAAAGCATCATTCCACGACGTTTGCTCTCGCGCGCACGGCACCCGCCCCCTAGTGTTACCACAAGCTACCATTGCCGTTTACGATCATGTGAATACTTGACTTAACCATGTTACCATTAGTGGCCAGCGCCGCTCGGTTTTGCGGAGACTGCAACTCAGGTTACCGCCGTCCTCGCTTCCGAGACTGCGCATGCGCAGGCTCAAGCCTTTTGATGATTTATTTCACTAGTCGATAATGCAAAAGAATAAATGTTCTCAGGCACACATGGGATGGCCTCGTTTGTTTCCGAACTCATTTCGACGCGCTCTTTTCAACACTAATGCGACCCCTTATTCCTTTCCGGCTAGGGCAGGAACGAGAGGTGCACGATCGACCCACGAGACAGGACGGTGATATATTACCTTATACCTCATTTGCGTGCTGATATGGGAAAACGACGCTCTTCTACTCGCGCGGCCAATATGTTTGACGCACTCCCGGACCATCCTCGAGGTTTCCCGGCTATCTCTTTCCCAAAGCACTCGCAGAGACATCTCGTGGGACACCTACGGATGTCACGATCTGTTTATGCGGCAGAGTCGTGACTTGTGTGCATTTTCGTGTGCTTCAGTGCGTTTGCGTTAGATGCCTGTCTTTGCCCTTATGACCTACACGATACGCATCTTTCTGCTGTTGATGGGTATTAATAGCCCGGAGTTCATTCGGGATTGTCCAAATGGGATTCCCGGGATACGGTAATCCCGGGATTCGGCGTTACCAAACGCACACCAATCAATCTATCAACGGAAGGAACTAGGGAAGCAGCTACACGAAGAACTAGGGGAGCAGCTACACGAGGAACTAGGGAAGCAGCTACACAAGGAATCAGGGGAGCGGCTACACGAGGAACTGTCACGTCAGCTGCGACCAGGTCCAGATGCCGACCGGGAAACTCTCCGGCTTCCCGGAAGCCGCCCTCAGTACAGCAGGGCTATATGAGCATCGGGAACACTCGTGGATCGAGATCAGTGGTGTGCAGGGGCGGGTAGGTCACAGGTATGGCACGGGTATGATGGTATGGCACACATATGATGTGCGGAGGCCGAGACAGGCGTTAGCACTGTGGGAGGATCGGGAGGAATGCTTAAAAGTCGGGAAGAATGCTGAAACCCTGTCAGGAATTTCAATGTAATCAATCTCAATCATCTGAGACTGGATTTTCTAGGATCGAATAAAGCGGGAGTCTTAGCTTACCTCGTAATAAAACAAATAAGAGCAGTCAGCATGGGAGTCCGAACAGAGGTTCCGACGGCAGGTTGCGTCCGCCCGGAGACCGATCACACGTCACGGTGTCAATGTCACGACCGATATTAGAGTTCGAAATAGTGCTTCACACGCAACAGCCTCGAAAACCGTGCGTTATATTAGGAGATAACATCGAGTCGATCAGATCACCCGGGAGTTAACATTCCGTCGCTTTGTAGTTTACTTTTTCCTCCCGCAATCATTTCCTAGCCCTCACAACAACTCACTCTACATGCACAGATTCGTTTGCGCTCTTTACAAGCATCAAGCGCATAATCGTCGCGTTCTCGCAACAAACGGTTGGTGCAAATGAACCCATCGACATGATCATGGGCTCCATGGCAAAACTTCACAACGCACGCCACCCACGTGCAAGACAGTGCGCAACATCCCCACAGCGTGACAGCATCCTACATACGTGGCAGTCCTATCGAAACGCTGGTAGACATTCGCTGCGCGCGTTCGAAGTATCGCACCGGAAAGCTCCTAAACTGACACCGAGCACCCGACAGCAAGAGCCGCGCCCGCGCTTGTGCTCGCGCTCGCAGTGCAGAACCCGCTGCGATTGGCCAGGGGCCAGACCCGCAGACCAGGTTTGCTGAACGACGCCGGGTTAAACCATTGCGAAAGTGCACTTGTTACGCTGACGCACGCCAACCGCCTGCGCTGAACGTCATGTGTTGTCGGGCCACGCGGCCGCATCGGCTGCAGCGTCAGGCCTGCGATGGTCGTCATGCCTTTATTGCTCAGACGCTGTCAGAAACACGAACCCGTTCTCGGTATCGACGTTCTCGAGCTCGCTGCCGTAGATTTCACTCCGCGGGCGTCACACCGACAGGACACGAAAGGGCTGGGTGAGTCGTTCCGATTTCCAAGGTCATGCTGCAGGACACGGGCCCCCGTTCGTGTCCGGACTGGTCCAGACGAGCCGGAACGCGTCCGCTACACCCCAGAGCTGGCTACGGCGCCCGAGCACTTCCCCACGTCGCCGCAGCACGTGTCCACCGCAGCACCGGACGCGTCCACCGCAGCGCCGAGAGCGTCCACCGCACCCCAGCGCCCAGACCGGCCGCCGCTGCCTAAGCACGTCCCGGCGCTCCCCGGCAGCCCACAGCTGCGCCCACAGCTGCTCCAGCGCCGCCGCCCCTACGACAAGCGGTAGCTGTAGTCCTCATCGTCGTCCTGTAGCGGCGGCGCGGGCGTGGTGGACGGCGGCTGGCGCAGGTCGTCGGCCGACACGTGGCGCCAGTACACGTAGCCGATGCGCCAGCTCGTGCTCTGGCGCCAGTCGAGCTGCTGGTTGGTGCGCGCCTCGTACGGCACGTAGCCGCGGTGCGCCAGGAAGATGGTCATGCGCTCGATGCTCCTGCGGCGCAAGCAGCGCGCGGTCGGCGGGGTGAGTCGAGGGCAGACAGAGCAGAGCGTGCGATGGACAAACATTTGTTGGTTTAGGTGATCTAACCGGGGACAGTGTGACCTGGTGACGACAACGCTCCACCACATTTACTGGCTTATTTTCT